GGTTTTTTTTTTTTTTTTTTTCATTACGCTGCTTCATCCAAAAAGTAAAGAGGAATTAAAAAGGAGAAAGCTCCCCTCCCACTCCAAACCTTACTAAAAAGCACAGGTTTTGATTCAGCTTTAAATTGTCAGTCTTCAGCATCGCCGGTTTGTATCGCCAGAGACTGAAGTGTCATGAATAGATTAAACAGCCCGGGCAGAGCTTGTGCAACACCCGCATACCAGCAGGCACTGTCACTGGGAGCACTGCACCTTCAAACTGGGGTGAAGCACCCCCTTCCCCCTGAGATCACAGGTGCAGATGCTTTGTTTAAAATGCCCTTTAAGCTACTTTTTTTTTTTTTTTTTTTAAACTTATTTTCCTGGAACCTTGGGATAAAAAAAAAAAATCTAGTTTCCAGCTGAAAAGCAAAGGGAATGGAGTGCTGGGAGTGTGCAGTTGTATAAAAGCATAGCTGTAATATTTTGGAGTATGAGATGGAGACCAAATAGCAGCATGGCTAATGACCTCTCCTCCACATGGTACCCTCATCAGAGCTGGGGAGAGAATCCTGCTGCATTATCCAGAACCCGTCTATAGGAAACACACATGCACAGGCAGAAGCAAAGGGAGAGAGATGACATTGTCAAGGGGAGATATCTCTATAAAGCCAGCTTTGGGAGAGCAGCGGCTTTTGCTTTTATTGGGTTTTTCTGTTGTTGTTGTTGTTTAAGATGGGAGGAAATCTTCCCATTTGACGTGGGGGTGGTGGGGGGTAGTCCCAGCCTTCTGATGTTGAAAGGAGCTATCTCCTAACATTTGCTCAGAATACATCTTTATAAATGTCAGGGAGCAGCGAAACTTTCCAGACTTAAAAGAGGGATTTGAGACGAGGGGGGAAAAGACTTCTGTGCAAGCTCGTGAGCCGGGGCTGAGGGGGGAGCAGGTTTGGCTGCTCATGAAAATCATTTAAAGCCCAGGAGCAGCAGCGTCGGGTCTGACAAGGATGGGCTCAGCTGCGACTTCAGGGCTAACGGGTTTGGTGCCGGGGCTGGGGACATTCCTGCTGCTGGCACTGAACAGCTGGCTGCGGATGAGGATGCGTTTGCACGGGTAGCACATTAGTATCCTTGGGTTATTATGCCACTAAATGCCTGGGCTGAGGCACAGTTTTCTTAGGATTCTTATACCTCGTAACTCTACCTTCTCTGGGGACTTTGTATTTAAAGAGCTTGATAAGAGGAGTGTTTGGGAACAAATAAAGAGCCTGGGACCCAGCGGAAAGGCAGCTGTGGAAACTGATGGGGCAGTGGTTGGGCTACATGTCCGGGGCAGCAGTATGTTTCTGCAGAGGCAAGAAAGGTGTGGGACAAATGTATCAGCCCCTTGGAGGGGGCAAGCCATCCTGCATGCCCCCTCAAACTCCCTCCTGCTCCCAGCCTTGATGCTCATCTTGGGTACCCCAGTCCCAGCTGGGACCCACTGAGTCCCAGGGAGGCCTCTGGGGTCACCGAGCCCTGTCGCACTCCCGAGTCACCTGCACCCCTCTGCTTAGGGCACGTCTGGAGTAGGCACAGCTCTGTAAAGGGCTCTGCGTCCCAGAGCTTAATGCTCCTTCTCCCGGGGAGGCTTTGCTGGTGCAGGAGGTACAACCACAGTCCCGGCTATGTGCCTCCCTGCAAAGCCCAGCTGGAGGCCAGCGATTTCGGCTCAGCCCATTTGCCCCGCTGAGGAGTAGAGATTATAATGGTGTGTCATATATTTTTTAATTTCCTAAAGGTAACTGTTCAGTCCCCACCTAATTTTACACAGCATGTGAGGGAGCAGAGCCTGGTGACGGATCAGCTCAGCCGACGGCTCGTCCGTACCTACCAGCTGTACAGCCGGACCAGCGGAAAACATGTGCAGATCTTGGACAACAAGAAAATCAATGCGATGGCAGAGGATGGGGATGTGCACGGTAAGGACGTGCGATGGGGACGGGTGGGGGGGAGCCAGGGAGGTGTTCACAGCCCAGCAAGGCGATTGATGATTTCCGTCCTGTTTGTTAGCCAGAAATCATTAAAATCGTTTGGCTTGCGGGGGCTTGTAAAGGGAGAACATAGGGGTCAGCGATCAGTGGCTGTGTGATTCAAGGTGAGGGCAGGTTCCCCGTGCTGAGGGACGGGACCTGTGTTTGCAGGATGGGCTCTGCTCCTTTCTTTTTCATTCTTGGTTTGCACCTGACTCAGAGGGCTCGGGGCTATGGTGTGCTGAGCAGCACTGGTCATTTCAGCCCAGCTCTTTGCAGGGCTGGGAATCTCTGAGACTTCCTTTTGGAAAAGAAATAGAAAGTTAGAAAAGAAGTAGAAAGTTGAAAAAGAAAAGGTGGCAGGGGAGGGGTGGAGGGGGAACAGCTGCTTACAAACCTTGCCTAAACTAGAACTGTCTGGAGTGGCATTTTCCCCATGTACTCCCTGTCCCTCCCTTTTCAAAACAAATCCCGAGCAGAGGGTCAGCGAGGCAGTTGGCCACGGGCAAAGATGCTGCTGTGTCTCTGGAGACAAAGCAGGGGGACTCGGCATGCACGGAGCCTGCGCTACACCGCAACCCCTTTGCCATCGCCCTGGCACCCTCTCCCCAAAACCTCTGCCCCCTCCCTGGGGCACAATCCCTCTGCTGGGGACACCCAAAGCCCAAATACTTTGATTGCCTGTGCTAATGTCACATCAGGGCGGTCAAATGCTGCTCAGGGGTCAGCGGGGCCAGCGAGCCCTGGCGCTGCAAGGCCTGATCCTGCGCCCAGATCGGGGAAGTGCCTGTATTTGTGTGTGTTCTATGTAGGAATCACAAGTGTTTTTCTTTGGTATTAGATGAAATTTCCCTTTCTTGCTTGGGGAGATTAGTAGAAACACTTTTCTTTCTTCCCTTTTTTGTTTTTTTCCCTGTTCCTTTTGCTTTGACTGAAAATTTCATGCTGGACTTTAGCAGTTCAAGCAAAGCACAGATTCCATATATATGGTATCCCATACATGCAGCATTAATCTTCCAGATGAACTATTCCCATCCTAAAGCAGCTCCGGCTTGAAAGGGCATTAGCTAATTTCCCAAGCAAAAAATCCTGTCTTGTTTTAGACCTATAATGCCTGGATTTAAAAGGCAGTTAGTGCATATTTAAATAACGACCAGGTTTAAATAAGGCCAGAAGGAGGGGACTCGTGGTGGCTTGAAAAACTCTATTAAAACATAATAAAAAAAGGTTAAGCATTTGAAGAGCTAAGGAGGAAAATGAAGACTGATCTAAACCAGAAAGAGAACAAGCAGTTTTTCAGATGTAAAGTTTTAAAAGAGTTGAAAGTCTGTAAATGTTAAAATAGAGGTTCAGGATTGTTCTATATGAATCTCTAGGGAGGCCCCCATGTCTGGAAGAACTATTAAAACGCTTCTTACTTTCACCTTTTTTAACATTTCCTGAATACTTTCTCCTCTTCGCAGTCCAGTTGGGGGATCAAGTGTGTCTCGCTGCATTTTTTCAGCATTTACGTAGCCACTTTCCCTTCAAAGTTTGAGCATGAAACATAATTTTACTGGGATAAATCTGTCACTTAAGTGAAAGAATAGAGTTGAAAATGTTAAGCTCCCCCCTCAAAAAACAGGGGGGGGGGGAAGGGCACCCCCAAAATGTTATTTAGAAATCGACTTTTGCAGCAAAGAGCCTCCCTCCCTGAGCCCGCCCTGCTGCGCTTTTTTTATCTCATTTTTGGGGGTGGGCGTGTAAAAGGGGTTGATTTATTTTTGCAGATGACCCCTTTCCCCATGCTGACGTTTTTACAGCCGACTTAACATCGAGTCCGACGTTTTCAGTTATCTGTCTTAATTGTCAATATTTGATTGACTTTTTTTAATTCTAAGGGAAGGCGGGTGGCCGGTGCAGCCTGGCTCATCCCTTCTGGGCTGTGCCTGCCACTGAGCAAACTGCTGCTGGCTGCAGCGTGGACTTAACCCTGCGAGTGGCCGGAGATGCTGGCACAGCTCCCTGCTGACTTGCCGGTTTCATCTGTACCCAGGGTTTTTCCCTGTTTGAGGCTGGAGTTTGCGGGGTGCATGGGTCGCGTGCGGGGTGCAGGTCCCCGGGGACAGGTGGTAGTCATCCTCTGCGGCTGGAGCAGCGCTCTCGCTGGGCTCGTGCGGGGTGGCAAACCCAGCCAGCAGCTGTAAATCACAGCTGCCCTCTGGAAGAAAAAAAAGGCCGCAAGAGAAGTGATGTGCATCTTTAAAGCGAGGTTTTGTGCTCTCTGGGGCCGAGGCCTCCCTGCTCGCTCCCTCCCTCCCTCCTCTGTCCCTCCCTCCCTCTCCGATCTTTCTATCTCTCACAGAGAAAAAAATCAATTCTCCTCAAACCTTTTACTGCCTCTGAGATCAATTCCCCCCCCCTTCCCCAATATGGATAACTAGGGGGTCACTGCCTCAGCGCTTCATTTGCAGAGTGCTGTGGCTCCTGTGGGTTGGGTTTGGGGACGCTGGGCAGGTGCCAGGCTCTGGGCATTGGTGCTGGTGTGGCACACCCTGGAGTTGGCTCTTCCCAGATTTCTCAGCTCTGAGTCCAGTCAGACTACTTTGGAGCCTGTACCAAGCTACTGCTGGTTTGGTTAAGGCGGGGGGTCAAGTGCATCCATCACGGGGGGCTGTGGGCATGGGGCAGTTTGGGGATGAGAGATGCTGCAGGGTGATGTTGTCAGGAGGGAGTGCAGGGAGAGGGTGCCTGCACATGCATCAAGCTGCCTTGCCCAGCAGTACTGAATCAGTCAGCCCCAGCAGATTTTGGGATGCCTCTTCCATTGTTCAACTCAGCTGCTGCTCGCACTGCCCACTCGCTGTTACCACCCTTGGTGCCATTGACCTTAGTAGTGCCTGTCATGCAAGGGATGCTGCATCAGGGTCTCACAGAGACAGAGAGGCAGCAGTTTTCTCCCATCCCAGAGTGTGATTTAGGCTCACTTCAGTTTGTACGTGTGCCCACAGCCGCCTCCTGCCGTTCAAAGAACCCTCATGCAAATCCACCTGCTCCAGAACAGCGTTGCTGCCCTTGCACGTGGCTGAACATCCTGGGGTAGAGATGTGGAAGCTGGGGTGGACAACGCTCCTGAGGAACTGAGTAGCTCTTGTGCAGGGATCAGAGAGGAGAAATAAGGAATCGGTGGGCTTAGTCCTATAACAAGGTTATAGACTTGGAAGCTCTGTGGGCTGTGCTCTAATTTACCTTATCAAATTGGGCTTATGGCGCAGGGGCTAGTGCTGGGCAAGATGTGATGGTGGTGAGATGGGACAGTCCTAGCTGCTCTTCAGTATCATGGGGAAATCTTTGGTTCTTGGCGCAGCCTTTTTGAGGTGCAAACAGGTAGCCACCATCCCTGCTGGGTCTTGCCCTGGGGAGGGTAGCTGGCTCTAGGGACAACAACTGCAGGGCCAGGGAGAAGGATGTCCTGTCCCCATCCTCCCCCTTCTCTGGGGATGGATGGGCTTTGGGGCTCGGGTTCCCAGGGCGGAGGCAAGGGAGGGAAGGTGACAGGTCTATTTATAGGCGGCCCATCGACCCGGCGATTTGCATAGCTCCTTCGGAAGTCGATCGATGCCTCCATTAAAAAACTGAGACCAAATCAATACGCCCTCTCGACTCGTGCAAAGGTGAAAGGCATTAAAAGGATGGCCATACCCTTCACGCCTCCCCTGCCAGCTGCAAAGTCACCGCTTCTCCTGCAGCCCTGGCCCGAAGAGAGATACAGAGCAGTGTCCCCTGGGCTGGGGACAGCTGGCAGCATGCCCTGCACTTCCAGAGGGTGCCTGCCTGCTCTCTGCCTGCTTTCTTCTTTCAAGCTCACCCAGACCTGCCTCGGTTTGTAGGGCAGCTGGCATGATCTCCACTGGCCAGTGCATGCCCTGCTCACGGCCTTGCCTCCTTACTGGGATGTCTCTGTGGCACCTGAGCCCCGTGGAGCTGGGAAAGGCAGAGCTGCTCCCCCTCCAGCATGACTCAGGGTTGCAAAGGGATGTGACCAAGGTCACATGGGGACACAGTGGCAGGGCAGCTAATCCAGTGCTTTGATTTTTAGGGCTCTCTCTGTCCCAGCTGCCTCCCTCCCCAGTGCGTGCCCACAGTGCCCAGTGTCAGGCATTGCTCAAGTCTCCATCCCTGTGCCTGGCCCATCCCAGAGCACCTCTAACCTCTCTCTCTATTTCCTCCCGTTGCTCTCTCCAGCCAAGCTCATTGTGGAGACAGACACCTTTGGGAGCCGCGTGCGCATCAAGGGGGCAGCCACAGGTTTCTACATCTGCATGAACAAGAAGGGGAAGCTGATTGGCAAGGTAGGGTGCTGGGATCAAGTGCCTGGGAGAGCCAGGGATGTGCTGTGGGTGCTGAGTGGGGCTTGCTTGGATACCCGATACAGAGCCCACCCATGGGGATAGGGAGGTGGGATGGGGGTCCCAGACATTCAGCCAGGGCACCCCTTTGGAGGGCAGGAGGATGAGCCATCCTGTGGCCTCGGACAGCAGGAGGGAAGGCAGGGAGCAAGGGAGGCGGGCAGGTGCCTTGTGGGGCAAATTGTATCTCCCCGAACAAATAGGCAAATTGCCGGGCTATTCTCCCCGATTACATGGTACAAGTGCCAGGAATGTTAAGATGCTCCATGGGGCTGGCCCCAAGGCCAGGCCCTGCTGTGTGCCAGTTAGTCACGCTTGCTCCCTCCAAGCCTCAATGCTCCCTCCCCAGGGGTGGAGGGGGCTGGATGTGCAAAATCCCAATGCAACAGTGATTGTCTGGGAGGGTTTTCCATGGTGGCTTCTTCCCTGGGGCTGGCTAATGTGGGAGTCCCCTCCCTGGTCCTGCTGCTGCCCATAATGGGGAGGGGGTCAGCCTCCTTTACCCCTGTGCTCCCTGCCACCTGCATCTGTGGGCATCATCCCCACGGACACCCCCACCCCCCCCACCCCGTTCACCTCTCCCGTACCTTGATGGCCCTCCTTATATTAAAGACCTCAGGGGAGATAGAATGGATGGGTGAATTGCCACTGAGATGGAGTTTGCTTATGGTCATGCTGGTGAGGGAATCCAGCCCCTGACATCGATGGGGGCAGGATAGGAATGGGCAAAAATGCCCTTATGGGGGTGGTAGAAATGCTGGGACATGCTGCATTGGGGCTTGCAGCCTGGTGCTGGCATCACACTGGGGACACAAGCTCTGGTGAGCAGTGTTTGCCCATGCCACAGTGCCTGCTCCCTGCAACTTTCTAAGTAAAAGATTTTTGACCATTCTAACCTGTAGGAGAAGTGGGAAAAGTGAGCCCTTGGCTGCCCACAAGCACTGCAACCCTGCTGCTACACCAGCCAGCCCAGCTTGGGGTAGTGAGAAGCTGCCCTCTGACTGAGTGCCTGTTGCTTAAATCTCCCACTCTGTCCCATTCTCAGAGCAATGGCAAAGGCAAGGACTGTGTCTTCACGGAGATCGTCCTGGAGAACAACTACACAGCGCTGCAGAACGCCAAGTACGAGGGCTGGTACATGGCCTTCACCCGCAAGGGCCGCCCGCGCAAGGGTTCCAAGACCCGGCAGCACCAACGGGAGGTACATTTCATGAAGAGGCTTCCCAAGGGCCACCAGACCACTGAGCCCCACAGACGCTTTGAGTTCCTCAACTACCCCTTCAACCGGAGAAGTAAAAGGACTAGAAACTCCAGCTCCAGGGTGGGCCCTTGATGGGCCTACCTGTGCCCACCCTGTCTGCACCTCTCCTGGAGGACTCTCCTCTGAGTTTGGTGGACTATGTGTAGAGACTTCCCCATATGGGTATTAAGCAAAAAAAAAAAAAAAAAAGGGGGGGAGGTTAAAAAAAATTACCTGCTCTAGTTGTTGATAATTCTGGGGGGTTGGTTTGGTTTTTACAAAAAAGAAACAAAAAGAGAAAAAAATAAGAGAGGCTCTATTTTTGTACTCCAACTTTAAAAGAAATGAAATGTTCAAAGACTGGTGAAGGGGGAAGACCCCTTCACTTAGAATGTTCTAGTCTGTTTGGGGTCGCGCATTATTTTGTAATTTTTTTGTAGCTCTAGGGGGAAAGGAGAAAAAAAAAATCACTGTTTAAAACAAACAAGCAAAAAAAAAAAAAGAAGGCAATCCAAATCTGGGAATGATGTGCTACTTAAATGAACCGAATTAATGCTTACCGGAGAAGATGGAGAGGTTGGAACAAAATTAAGGGGAGGAGGGGATTTATTTCAGAGATGGTTGGAGACCTTCCAGGTGGGTTTTGCAGCCTGGGTGAGTGTGGGCACTGCCTGTGGGAGCTGGTTGCAATGCCCAGGGTGAGGGCCGCTGGATGCTTTTCTTCCTCAGTTGCACCTATTTCTTCGGCTGAGTGAGGGGTTGCTGGAAGCCGCTTGCATCCTTATGAAAATGCTGCTGGCTTCACAATGCCCAAATTATTTTTTTCTCAGGAGGGGACAGGGGTGATGGATGCCCCAGAGAAAGTCCTGAACTGCCTTGGTACCTCTTACCCATGAGAGCATCTTTGGCATTTGGTTTGTTTTAAACTACTAAGGTGAGGCAGTGGGTGACGGCTGCCATGGAGCGGGCTGGTAACTGGGATTTTTTTTTTTTCCATGTGGAAAATGTGAACTCACCAAAAATTGATATTTTTTTTTTCTGTTTATTTTTTTATCAGATGGAAGTTTTCATCCATAAAATTAAAAAAGTTTACAAATTACTGTGGAGCCATTTTGGGCTGGTTTTGTCATAGTATTCAGATTGTGGTTGGCACTTCCATTGTCAACTGTTTATTCCAGGTTTGCTCTTTGAGAAATACCACTGTCCTTGCCCTCCTAGTAAAGGAGAGGTTTTCTTTCAAAATTTCATTGGTGACAGAAGCCCAATTTTCTATAAAAAAAGAAACCCAAAAGAAACATTAAATCTCTTGAGTGAACATCCCCAGCCAGCCCTGCTCTGCACATGCTGCTCTGGGACTGCGACTCTCTCCAAAGGGTTAAAGCAATTATTCTTCACGGGGAGGGCAAACAAAGACACTGGATAGGAGCCAGAACCAGGGGTGACTTTTCATCCAATCTTTTTTGATTGTTTGTTTTTTCTGTTTCCTTGAGGATTTTTGTTTTTGGTTGTGTACAAATTGAATATGAAATGATTGAAATATTTATTTAATATGTGCATTAAAAATTTGTATTAGTCTAATTGAGCCTGATGCTTTCCAGGGAGGGCCTGGGGCTGAAGAGGCAGGTTGGAGAGGGGCAGAGCAAGTCGTTGAGGTGCAGTGTGGGGCTGAGGCTGCCACTTGGCGTGAGATGCTTCCCAAGGGAACAAACATGGGAAGTGGGAGGATGCCCCAGGATCTTGGACCTAGATGAGTCTTGTGGAAATCATGGTTTTCCTTGCATCAGATTCTAGGTTTAATGGGCAGATGCCACCCCCTTACCCTGTGGGGGCAGGCCCATTGCAGGCTGAATGGGGACATAGCGCAATGGAGCCTTGACCACTTTTTTTAAGCATGGGATGAGGCTTTCCAAGACAGAAAAGAGGGTATTTGCTTCTCTGGTCTGGATGAGCTTGGTACCTGTGCAAAATGGGCTGTTGGGTCCCCTCCTTTGGTGGATACTCAGCCTTGCTGAGGTGCTGGGTCTTGCTTACAGGAGCTGATGGGGGCATCCAGATATGGAGTGGTCTCAGATATAGAAAGATGCTGGAGTAAAATTGTTAAATAGGTGTAAAAAACAACTGCAGAAATGGAACAGCCTTGCAAGGTTAGAGTTTTGCCATTGCTGGCACCAGCCCTGCTGGTGCTGCCATCCTCATGGGGTGCCTGTGACACTGCTTAGTGCTCAGGGTGTCCCTTGTCTGTGAGGTGTGAGGATAAGTCATCCCCTGGCTGATGCAGCTGGCCAGGCTGAGTTGTAAATATACATCACTAATTTCAAGGAGGGAAACCCAGGGGCTAAGTGCTCGTCCACACTATATGTCTGAGTGTTGCTGCTGCATCACGGAGGTCATGGAAGATGGTTGAGCTGCAGGATGGCGCGAACAGCGTTGTCCCAGGAGGGACCCAAAGACTGCAGAAGCCTGGAGCAGACAGCGCCAGGGAAAGCCCATGTTATGTTTTCCAGACTACAGGAACTAGAAGTGAATGACTTCTGGCCTTTCCCCAGGCAGAGATGGTGTTTGATAGTCCTTAATGGGTGCCTTTCTTCCATTAATTTGTCTAATTGCTTTTCCTAATGGCTTTGTGAACCTAGGTGAATTGGTGACAGGTTGCTGTTCCAGGTAAGGGTAGCTGAGGGGCAGGACCGGCTCCATGCAGGTCTGCAGAAGTCTCCTCCATGTTATCTGTCCTCCAGGGACAGGAATGGCAGGGAAAGGCATGCCATGGGTGCTCAGCATCTAGTAAGGCTGTCCCCCCATCGCTGGCACACTGGGGTGCAGCTGAGAGCTGGGGCAGGGGGCATCCAGCCCTCTGGGAGCTTGAGCCGGGGAGGGACACCCCTGTGTCCTTGCACAGTTCTGTGCCACACACCATCCCCAACTCCTGCCATCTGCTCTGCTGCAGCCTGCCTTTGCAAAAGGCACCCAGTCCTGGCTCCTGGGAAGGGACCCCCTGCTTTCCCAGCTCACTTCGTCTGTCGTTAGTTAGCCCCTTTTCATTAAACAATTTTTGGGTGGCCATGTTGCCTAGGAGCACTGCAACCTGGGTCTTTGTTTATTGCTTGAATTTGTCCAACTTCACCTTCCAGCCAGCAAATGTTTAGCCTTTGATTAGAAGATTAAAGAGCCCACTACTAGTTAGTTAATGAGTAAGTGAATTAATTAATGGTTCCTCATACCCTGTCTCTGCACTGATACCACTTAGTCCCTGGCATGGCTGGAGCAGCTCACGCTCTTCCCAATGACCTGGGCCCTGCGGGGTCCTGGGTGTGTGGTTCTCCAGGGCTGGTAGCTCCCATGCATGGGTGATGGGACAGTCCCTGGTGGTCCTTGCTGTTTCTCCAGGGATGCAGAAGCCCTGGCTGCTGGTTGAATGTGCAGGGCCCAAGAATCTGGGACTTTTCCCTTCTCTTTCATCATCATCAGGTGTACGGACCAAGCTTGAGAATCACAGCCACCCAAAGGCCCTGGGGGCTGTGGGACACTGAGCTGGGGTTGGACCCAGGAGAGCGCTGGAGGCAGGAGGCTTTGGAGGTGGGTGTTTGCTTCCATCAACCCATGCTTTGAGCATGGGCATCTTGGGCAGAAACCCCTGCTCCAAGGTAGCAAAGTCCTTGTGAAAGGGATGTGCCTGTCCCTAGCACCACCATTCCCAGTGTCACCCTGCAGTCCCCTCCCTCACTGCTACTGGGTGGCTGGAGGGAGGTAGCAGATGCAGCAGGAGAGGAGCTGTACTGCTCCTGCTGTTGGTGTCGGGATGATTGCCCTGTCCTGAGCTCCAAGCAGTGGTGCATGTGTGTCCCTGCCCATACAGGACTTTGCCATGCAATGCCATCTGGACACAGCAAGGCTGGAGCTGAGTGACGTTTGGGAGAGTCTGTCTCGTAAGACAAGAGCAGAAAGCCTGGCTGGTCCAGACAGCACACGTGGAATAAGAATGTGTGGAGTGAACACACTAGGGCAACGCCAGGCAGGGAGAAGAGCTGTTTTCATGTTAAACGTGGCTATGGCAGAGAAACAGTAAATGGGCAGGAATAAACTGAAGTGGCAAGAAAAGGGGTCCGAGCAGGGGCTGCACCAGGGCTTGATCCACCAAGCCTTTTGGCACATGCTGTCTACACTCCTACCCTTTCTCTCACTTTATAACTTCTCTGTGAGGTCTGCTTGGGGAAGGGTGCCCACTGAGAGGGGTGGGCTGTGTGATGCTGTGGCAGGGTCGGGGCTCCCCCGGGCCCCTTTGGGCACGCCCCAGCTTGGGAGGGAGGATTGAGGTGTTTGTTTATTGCATCAGGCTCAGCTTTCAAACATCTCCCTGCCATCCCCCTCCCCCTCCTTTAATTAATTCTGGGTAAAAAGTCCTGGCTTTATTGTGCCACCGAGCTGAGGGCTCCCTGTGGGAAAAGTCACACCTTCTGAACAGCTTCTGATACCATGCAAATGAAGGACAAGTCCAGGAAACGCTTTCATCTCGGACCTGTCCAGCCCCCTGCCCATTAATTACACACATTTCATTTGTGTGAGAGTAATTCCTCTTGGGGAGGGGGTGGGGGACAGCCATGGCTTGTGGATCATCTCAGCCCCACTCTCTAAAGACCCCTCCTTGGAAGGGGGTTTATAGCCAGAAATGGGGATGCTCAGGGTCTCAGTGGGGGATCCCATATTTCTGCTCTCACACAGTCACTCCAAATCAAACCAGCTTGTTGGTGGGCCACATCTTGCCAGCAGGGAGGGCTCAGCATCGCCCCACACCCTGCTTGGTGCCAGCAAGTCCTGGCTGTGGGCCCAAGTGCTACAGGAGCATTGTGGAGGGAGGTGCAGGGTGGAGCAGAAATGAGCTCAGTGCTGTCCCAAGGGAATGACTCTCCAGGGCCAGGAGCTCATGAGATGAACTTTGAGCAGGGTGGACCAAAAGGATGTTTCACTCAGGGAAACATCTTTCCATGCTTCTACAGAACTGCCTGTGTTGGGGGACTACATTACACTGCAACAGGGAGCAAAATCTTCTTGGCCATATGTGGACCAGACCCAACTCTCCTTTTGAGCCTTGGTCTCTCTGTGCTCCTCTCCTTTCTTCACAGCCCCACTGACTGTGGTGTCTCTTGTCACAGCTGCAGCTGAAGACACCTCCAGGGTTGGCTTCCATTT